CCAATACAATAAGTACATATAAACACTACCTATAATGTATATATATTAATTTAAAAAAAAAATGCAAAAACCTGCATGTTAAACTGTTAAAGTGTCTGTCAAGTCAATCATCACCGTTTAAGACGAAACTAAAATGAGCAATCCGTCTATCACCTATATATAGTAGGTAGGTATATCACATAGAGTGGTCATAGGCGTGCGCAGACCTTGCTGGCAGGGGGGGCAGAATGTAATAATGTACCTATAGGTATATTATATAATATATAGGTAAGTAAATATTATTTTGGTTATTAGTTCAATTAATGTAAGTGATGGAAGTATTTTCATTTTATGTATCATTAAAACTACAAATAACTACAAATTTAATATAGTAATTGAAACTCCAAAGTTTTTTTATATTATATTAATATACATGAACAAAGAAAATTATTACATTCATACAGTGGTGGATCCAGGGGGATGGCAAAGGGGGCATTTGCCCCCCCCCCCAATAACCGTAGTTTTCCTTTGTTTTACACTGTGTTTAGCCAATTTTGGAACTTTCATATACTTTTGAGCCCCCCATGCCCCTCCCAAAATTAAGCCCTGGATCCGCCACTGCATTCATATATATTTTTATGCCCGATGTGTTGGTGAAATCTGAATTTACTAATTCTACTTACTTTTTATTTACAATTACAAAAAAAGTAAGTAAGATAGGTAAATTATTATTTGCACCAACACGTTGAACATATTATAAATATCAACATTTTAAAAAAAATTTAAATCCTTAGTATTGCATTTACATGATTTTTCCAAAAATAGTACCACTATTATATCATGCATTAATGTATCAATAATATTCTATTCTTTGGTAATATTGAAATTTATACATTATTGTAGGCATGTAACCTATTATTTAAACTGTTTTATACATTATACTTTATAGGTATTTAATAGTATTAGGTATATAATAAACAATTTGATTTGTAGGTTACAGTATAAATAGAAAATTAATTTCAATATAAAACACCACATTAAAAAAAAGATAGGTATATTCTGATTTAATCAACACGTTGAGCATAAAAATACTATAATACTAAAAATTCCGAAAATTGCTTCGGAAGTAAAGAGCTATAATATTTGTTCGTATACTGCATACTAATTATTATAATTATTAATTACTAATTATTTAAAGAACCGACCTTCTTAGCGCTTCCGGTGAACGTTTTTCGCATTAAATGCCGTTAAATTACTACTCACTTTCATGTCTCATCACATCTCAATCTACATCATGCTATAATAAGATTATAAGCACTCGTTATCACCGCGGTATCGCTTGTGGTTCGCTTAAAGTTGGACAACATAAAATCATCGTGCACTGTACATCGAGCACTCAATGTTTACATAATATTCATTATATAAAACTGTATTATAATATTTTTTTAAAAACTTTGTTATTTTGTAAGAAAACTTGAGCCCGCAGGAGGGGCAGCTGCCCACCCTGCCCCTCCCGTGCGCACGCCTATGAGAGTGGTATGTGGCTTCGCATGTCCGGTGCCATTCCTTATGTAAAAAGTGTAAAGTCGACAACCGTGTTGGAGTGTCTAGCAAGTCAGTCATCTCAAGTCAAAATCGATTAACTTTCAATTTAGCCATCTAGGTAGGCAATCCGAAATAAAATACAACTATATTTATATAACAATCATGGACTTTTTGAAAAAATATGCAATTATAATAATTCCTAACAAAACAAATATAATATGTACCTATTTATTGTATGATATAATATGACAATGACTTTAAATAATAATAATGTACGATATGTTCCTGTATTATTATATTATTATTTAATTTATATTAAAAATAACGTGAAAAAAAAATGCAAAAAAAATCCGGTTCCGGGCGGCCGTGTAGACCTTATGGCAATGCCAGATTCGACGCTGGGGCAGCGTACGACCGGTTCGAACCCGGGACCTACGTGTATTCTACCTAACGCCTAACCTACTTGGACACAGTTTGAGATGTGAAATATGATCAAAACATCAACACTTAAGCCGTGCGTCTACGGAGCGACGTAAACCGATATATTCGATGTACATCGATGTAATCGCATATAATTCGCTTGTAATACGCGCATCTCCCATATATATATTTAACGGGGCGTGTGAAAAGCGTTTTTCGTTAATAATTATTAAATCATAGGGAAAAATTAAATTATACATGTATATATACGGTCGGTCGGTCGCCGGCGTAATTTATAAACGCGATTGCGAGGCGAACGAACCGATTTCGGGGGAAAAGCCCATATAAACGGCTTTAAAAAGACGTCGACTACACGATTCGGGCACAAACGGCGTGTGAATAGACGAAACGGTGGGAGAAAAGGAAAAAATCGGCAAAAAAGTCCGGTCGGGAGTGTATTTTTCGATCGACATTGCGACCGCTTCGAACGGCGCACGAATATAAACTACACACCGGCGGCTTCGAATTAAGTATAAAAAAGGACGGAAAGGGTCGAAATCGTGTAAAAACAGCTAATTTTCCGAAAATTTCAAAAATCGGCGAAATGATAGGAAAAGAGGTGATAACGAAAAACGTTTTAAAACCGACTGCCGCCGCTGCGAAGGTACGCGATTGGTCGCGCTATAAGGAATCGACGGGACATGGCCGGCGGGCTGGGGAAACGGAGCGGTGCTTCATTTTTTACTCCACGGTTTCACTATAACTGCGTTTTCCGTTCCACGGGTTGCTTGTAGACAGCTGATTTCCTTGTCATTTTATATATTAGGAAGATTGTCCATAAATACTTAAATGTAAAGAGCGCATAGTACTTAGAAATGTTCAGACATTTGTTACTACTAACGTTTTAAAGCTGTCTTAGAAACACTATTGTTTTGTTTGAATAATGAGTACAAGTATTATGAGACATAAACTATTTATCTAATTCTTCAGCTTCAATTCCGTTTCAATCAAATACGTATTTGCCTACATATTATATTGAATAAGGTAAATAGACAATTATTTCCATCTAGATATTCCACTCCTCCTTGCTATTTTCGGCGGAGTAGGACATTTCACCTCTATTTAAAAAAAAATGTATTTTGACTCGTATAAAAACAAAATAAAATAAATCTTCAAATATATTCCAATAAATATAATTGTCCATATAAGAATCATCTATATATTATTTTGAATGTTGGTTGAGCATCTCGATCTCTATTATATTGTTGTAAAAAGTAGTATTATAATAATAAGTAATATTTGCAACAAATGTAAAACATTAAATAAATATGATAAACAATCAAATAATTTTGTAAATGAGATATAAGAAATAATTTCAAAAAAAAAAACATAGCAAGATATTTCTACATAATATCGATGCTGCATTTTGTAGAAAGTCTTCGATTTGCGATTATTTTGTTATATTTATTTTATTGTAGAATCCAACCATTACGACGCGCTTGGATATTTAACAATTTAATACATAATAAATAGGTAGGTGGATGAATTTGATCTCTGCACTGTTTCTTCGGCGAACTTATTTGGATGCCGAGTTCTTACCAAGCCTTTTAATTTATTATTGAAACCTCCAACTATATTATTTGTTCTATACCTGTGGTTTACTTTGGAGAATTATGTACTTGTCACGAATAAGGAGGGATATTATCACTAAACGACACTTGAAATGCCAAACGATTTGGTTAAGTATTTTATACACAGTAACGTTTATTACCTACCTATATAATAAGTACTGGTTTTAAACATTAGGTAAGTACTCATTTTTTTTTTTGTTTTATTACCTACTATGCATTATTACTTTTGACGCGTATTTTGTTTAACTTATTAGTGAATGTAAAAAAATAAAAAAACAAGAAAAAAATGCTAAAATCCTTATTTATAAAAAATAGCGCCGGGACGAAATAGCCCCGGAAAAATGTCCTACTTGGTGGAAAATCGTCGCGGGGAATCGTCCTGAATTTGTCGAGGGTAATACGACGTCCTATCACATCGTCTAAAACGTCGATATACGAATAACGTGATTAATTATTTTGAACAAATATCGACTGGCTGCGAAATAATAACAATACAATCGCTATAGTGCATCACGCCGTCCGTCACCCACCCACCCAAGGCGCCCACCCCGAACGATATTGTGTCGGACACGGTCGCGTGTAAACAGTTTGTTTTGCCTTCTGCAGAGACGTCAGTTTCGTTTTTGATTTTGGCAGACAAACACCAGAGACGAGGGACTCGAAGGCGAAGACGACACGAGCACGCAGTGCACTTCGATTAGCAATGACGCAACCCATTTTCGGGATACCTGCGGCGGCGGCGGCGGATATCTAATGGGCGGGCTGCGGTGGCGTCTGTAGGACGTGCTTGTCGTATAATAATAATAATACAATGTGTGTGTGTGTGTACAGATAAAGACCAAATAATAATAATAATAATGATATATAAACCGAATGGTTATTCGTGGAGATTAGATCATTTTTTTTTTTTTTTTTGGACGAGTTGCGCGTGTACCTATATATGCTGCCTATAACTTTATTATGTAATCGTCGTCCCCCCCACCTCGACGGCCAACTATATGTACCGCAAATGCAACGCCGTCAGTGATCCGTTTGCACCGAAGGTTCCTGCCGTATACACAAACCCGACCGAATATCATATTATTATTATTATTATTATTATTATTGTGTGTGTCGAACGATCGCAACTCGATACGACGACGACCCCGACACGTCCGTACAATTACTGCAGTTATAGTTGTGTATCGATATTGTCGCATGCGATTCGTCGTCGTCGGCGGACCCGATAACAGATATTATAATAATAATAATATTATTGTTGTTCGTCACAAATTATTAGAGAAATTTGTCAAAGGAAACGGTCTGACCACTACCACTTCAGAGACCGCGTCGGTAATATAATAATATACACACACACATAGTGCACACATTACATATTATTGTACAGACGACGAGGGGCATACGACTCTCACCGCTATTGATATAATGGACCTGAGGAGACGTAACAATAGTCATTTGGTTATCGCGTGCACGCTGGCATTGGGTATCCTCATCTGTATGCCCGTCACTGTTCGCTCGTTTACCAGAGGTAATAATAACATTAAGTACAATATGCTCTACACTTTCGGTCAATTGGTAACGTCCGACGAGTATGTTTCTCATATTATATTATTTTTATTTAATTTTAAATGTTATTCGGCGGTAGAATGTGGTATCTGCAGGTACGGTACAGCTATAGTATAGACTATTATGGCTGGTATCGTCAATGTATAATGTATATGTATACAAGGTGTAACAGAAAGACCCGACCAAAATTATGCCACTCAAACGTGTGGCAAAAATCGTTGAAATTATATATGATTGGTAAATAATTTAAGAAATATACTCATGTCGGCAGATAATTCCCCCCCAAAAAAAATATTTCGAAAAAAGTTATTAACGTTCCGAATTCAAAAAATATTGATATTTTAAAAAATAACCTTCTTGACTTAGATAAATGTTTTTACTATCAAAATTGTTATTATAATCAGATCATCGGCTATTTTGAATATATCCAAAAAAAAAAATTAAATCAAATTTAAAATTTAAAATTTTTGGTGTTAAAAAAAAAATAATTTGTCGTATAATATATGTGTAGTACAAGTGACTATAGATTATATATGAAAAAATTTTAAACATTGATTAGAACAAAAGTTATTCCAAAAGTCAGTTCTATCCGTTACACCCTGTATACCAGATATACCAGAGTTGTTCTCGCGGTAAGCATATAATAATAATATATTTTGTCGATTTTTAGCGATACCTACTTACCACCACATTATATTAAACCCAAACAAATGCAATAATATTACAAAGTAATCATCAAACCTTATTATGATATATTATAATTATACAGCCAAAAACACGTATCAATTTGATTTGATTTTATATCATAGCTTTTTATTAGTTAAAAAGAAAAATTCTGTTAATTTTAACTTATGAATTTTATACGACTGTTGTAGTTGTGATTTGTAAGATATACATTGTTTTTACGGTGATTGATTTTGGATTTTTTTTATAAAAATTTTTAAATGTATGATGTACCTAATGGTTTATAGAATAAAATGTTATCGTTTCAGATTTTATATAATGATATAATAATATACACATATATAGTACACCTGTACGCTACAATCGATAAATTTATCTATAATTACTGTCGACGTATTTCCCCATCACTTTCCCTATTCGTTTTATCACCTTTGATCAATTTGATTGCGCGAAATTATAAATGTTTAATATATTTACATAAAAAAAATTGTACGCAGTACTCATTCATGAATTCCTCGCACATAATATATGACGTATAATAAATATGATTTTATTGGATTTTAAACTTTAAAAAGATCGCTTTTGATACGTACCATTAGATTTTGTGTTAACCACGCAGTACACAGATATTTTCAAGTACGTAAATATATATATATTATGTTTTATGACAAACATTTATTTTTACAATAGAACAATATTATCTAATTTCCCGGGTTTTCTATACCCAACTCGTCTGCAGTAGTAACCTCTTCAGGACTCGGGTCGAGTTAAAGGGTACCTATATATGCTGATAATGTGATCAATCCATTTGTGCCGTGCATATAATAATTATTTTGTCGAAATTCAATAAATTTGATAATATCCAAAAATTCATCTGATATACCCATGTAATACTCAGATGTATGAAATTTATTCATCGATGCATTGATCGATCCACACACTCACGACCAATCGGCTTGAACCTAATCACTAATCAATATTGTAGACAGTAATTTCCTACCATAAATTGAGTTGCTTAAATTGTAGAGTTTATTATTGATTTCAAACACCCCATGTCTAATATTAACTTTGGCTGTGACGGTTTTCACGTCGTAATATCGCGGATTGTTTATCGAAGTGCCGGCTCAATCAGTTTCAACAATTTTATTTTTATTTTATATTTTATAAAATTTAATTACAATTTGTTATGAAGATAAATCGATTTTCGAATTTTACTCATCTTTTTATAATATCTATATGAAAAAAAAATCCAAGGCGCCTCTTTTCGAACACCCAAAATACTCTTGCTTGTGCACGCCACTGCAGTTAATACAACAATTAATAATAATAATTTAAACTTTTTGGTCACCCATTCGAAACCATTTAAAACCTTATTCAAATTGAATATTTTAAATATCTTGTAATCACATCTGATGTTTTGATTTTTTTAAAATAAATAAACATCGAGGATTGCCTATATAATACCCCTTAAAAATCGTTGTGATTGAGTTTTAATTACCTATATTATTATCATTCTCAAATTTTATACCGACGGGCAGATTTATTCCAAATAAATAGGAATGGAGAAGGATGACTCGTAATTATTCTATAACTAAAAATTCAGACTTAATAGCAATTTCGAGTGAAGTTGATGACGGTGAGATAGACTAACAGTCTATATACCACCATGTATTATTATTTACTATCGATTTTGGATCAACAGTAATAACTAATATCACTAATATTACAGTAATAACTAAATGTCAGTTCCACAACTTTGTATTACTGTAGTTTGCAATACGATATTTTGTAAGTTTTATTTTTTTAAATTAGGAGAAGTGATATACTCCTGATTTGCTAGTAAATATCTTGTAAATGTACATATTTTATTCAGCTTCATTTTAATATTTCAAAAATTATTTTAACTCGAGAGTCTTGAACAGAAAATATGTACTGGTCAGTTTATTATACATTTTTTTAGAAACAAATTTTAGACTTATATAATAGAATATAAGGTTATTGACTATTGTACATTAATTTTTAATAGAATTGTTCGAAAGTTTATTGTAACTATATAGAATACTATAGATTTGCACAAATTAACATAATATCATTTTTTGTGACTTGAGAATTTTATTCTCCGTACAATAAAAATAATTTAGTTGATTTTAATCGCTTTTTATTTGTTTCTATAACACTACAATTACCTACCTACGATTAAATAAAAGTGTTTTTAATTAATTTATGCATTTTTTAGTATCGTTATCACACGATGTACGGCTAATTTTCAAATAAATATTTGATGATTACACCATAGTTATACACACAACAAAGCACGTTTTATATTAAATTTTTTTTTATCAATGTTTGGAATGTTCACTTGAAAATTGAATTCGCCCACGTTCGCATAAAACGCGTAAAAAATACGACAAAATTATTTCAGAAATATTGTTGGCAGGTATATTCCTTGTACGCTTTCGTAAATAGGGCCCGTTTTACGATAGCGGTTTAAACCTAGGTTGGAGTTTAAACCAAGTTTAAATTTAAAACGGCGTATTACAATATCCGTGCAACTGTGGGTTAAACCGAAGTCAACTCGAACCACCGATTTCAGTGAGTTAACCTGCAGGGATCAATGTTGATATGCAAGTTGATTGGCTGCCAATTAATGTGGTTCACGGAAATTCCGTCAAATTTTTCGATAAGCGTAAAGCAACAAGTCGTACATTTCGTTTGTTTGCATTTTGCGACTGCACTTTTCGACTGTGAACTTTCCAACGGCGCGGCGATGGAAATAAATTAAAACCGCGAACGGCGTGACCCAAATTCTTATCACAGATTATCTTACATTAACAGACACGATTATCTATTAATAACTTTATCATTAATTGTAAATAATCAATGATCACAATTCAACCATAGTTCAACTGAACCGCAATATAATAGCTGGTAATGTTTAAGGCGAATGTTCGAATTATAAGTTTTATAAAAAAATATATTGTAATGACATATGTTTTCTGAATCTAATATTTCCTTTTTTTTGCTTCCAATTTTTATCAAATCGCTCAAATTCATAACTCACATTCAATAGGATACGCTAAAAATAGTCTACATTCATTTTTTAGTTCAATTATTTTTAGAAGGGACATTATACTGCAGGTTCGATGCAGATAATATACATGTGTGTCATTAAAATAAAAAAATTAGTCCGAGTGGGTACTAGAAGGGTGCTTAATGCGTATAGGTGGTATTTATGTATTTTTTACATTAAAATTGGAAACTCGTTTTATCCATTAAGATAACATAGGTATTTTGTATTATAAAAATATACACATTCGTAATAATAATAATAATAATATGTTGTTGTTGACAATTTTTTTAACGTACCTACACAACATATGGTGACATTATAATTGCGTATGGGTACGACCGTAAGTTAAATTATATTTCATATTTTTATGACCTACATCGTGTACATTGTACTCGTACCTATGCTACAGTGATGCAATAATAATAAATTATTAATATCGTATTAGTTTAAAAATTAAATGCAAAAAACGTCAACTAAACGTAGGTAACATTAAAAAATAATTAAATACAAAGTCAATCTTCATCGTCGTCGACTAGAGACTTCTGAATCGGGTGCATTAGCAGGTATCTATATTTATATGCACGTCGATTACGATTTCGTGTGGTTAACATAATAATGCAGCACAAAAGACGTATTATATTATTATTATTGTGTTCTGCGCAACAGCTCAATAACGCACTGCGTACGAGCTCAGCTGTATAAAAAGTCAAACAAGTCGACCTGTTACCTTTTACACCGACACGTACTAATCGTCCGTTAATATCTATTATATTATTTTTTACCGTGCGTAGGACAAAACGGCACACAATGACTCGATCGGTTTTTAACCAGGGAAATCATATTATTTTTGAAACGCCAAACGGTGCAGAAAACGACGATGACGAAGACGTCGACGAGTCCCTTCGATATTATTACAATTAATAAATTATTATTTTCCCCGCTGATCGAATAACGAATGCTCGCCGAGTGTAATAATAATGATAATTATTATTATTATCGATTTCGCATAATATTATCACGTGACTTTTTAAACTATATTTCAACCAGGCAATGTCGTAACTGGGGGGGGGGTCCAGGGGTCCGGACCCCCCCGAAATTTTTAAAAGTAGAAACATTTTAGCCGTGAATATAGTTTATTAACTATAAATTGTATTAAATAATAATTGTATATTTTCGTTAAAGCAGTAATTTAAAATAAAATAAAATTT